GCTTGTAATCAATGAGTCAATCTCCATGACCCTGAGGCTAGAAGAAATCGATAGTGTCTGCCTACCACTACCAACTGCTCTCGACAGGATCACGCTAGAAGGTTCTAGATAGAACGGCATAATGTGTGGAACAAAACTCAAAAATAGAAGGGGAAAAAAAAAATGGCTTACTGATCAGAAAGAGACTGGGGAACCTGAGACTGTAACCCTTGGCCACCCTTCAGGTCTGGAAAGGAACACATCCTCTTTCAGCAAGCAGTAAATAGATATATAGAGGGAACAACTTTCAGTTTAGCAGGAGATAGGCATTTAGGGGAAACAACAACACTAGTAAAATATGCTCATTATAAATGATGGAATGATCAATCATTTAAAACCAAAGGGGCAACTTGTATCTAAGGACAATGGTGAAAAGGATAAGATGGATTGAAGGAAAATAAGAGCCACAAGGAGGCGACATATGACTGTTTTTCGGCAGAGTGGATTGCAATCATTGAGATGAAGTAAAACGTATTATTTGCTGAATGTAAAACTGACAATCTTGTCTGTAAACCTCCACTCAATTCAATAAAAACTTAAAAAGTAATAATAATAATAAAAGACAAGACAGAAGAAAAAGACCAAAATGGATGTCAGAAGAGAGTCTAAAACTTGTTCTTCAGCATAAAGATGCTAAAGCAAATGGAAGAAATGTGGAAGCAAAAGAGCTGAAGAGAAAACTTCAAAGGTCAGTTTGTGAAGACAGATTCAAAGGTGTGCAAAGAGACAGAGTTAGAAAACAAAAAGGAAAGAAAATACTCAGCATTTCTCATGCTGACAGAACAGAATAACAAATTCAAGCCTCGACTTGAAATATTGAAGGATTCTATTGAATGGTGAAGAAAGCATCAAAAGACGATGGAAAGAATATGTGAAGTCACTGTACCAAACATAAATGGTCAAGGTTCAACTATTTTAAGAGGTAGTATATGAACAAGAGCCAATGGTACTGAAGGAAGAAGTCCAACGTGCTCTGGGAATCAATGGAATACAAATTGAAATCTTCCAACAAATTGATGTAGCACTGGAAGCACTCACTAATTTATGCCAAGAACGTTTTTAAGACTGATACCTGGCCAACTGACTGGAAGAGTTCCATATCTGTGCCCATTCCAAAGTGATGTGTTCCAGTAAAATGTGGAAATCATCAGACACTGTAAAAAATTTTTTGCAATCATACATTGAGAGAACTTCTAGAGGTTCAAGTTGGATTCAGAAAAGGACATGAATGAGGGATATCATTATTGATATCAGATGGATCTTGGCTAAAAACAAAGAATACCAGAAAGATGTTTGTTGTTGTTGTTATGTGCCGTCGAGTCGGGTCCTACCCATAGAGACCCTGTATAAGGTTTCTGAGGAGCAGCTCATGAGCTTGAACTGCCAACTTTGTAGTTCAAACTGCTCTGCAGTCTGGCACATTAACCCACAGCACCACACCAGGACTCCTAGAAAGAAGTTTACCTGTGTTTTATTGACTATACAAAGGCTTTTGGCTGTGTAGATTATGACAAGCTAGGGGCAACACTGAGGAGAATGAGTATTCTAGAACATTTAATTGTGCTCATGGGGAACCTGTACATAGACCACAAGACATTTATTTTAAACAGAACAATGGTTTAAAATTAGGAAACATGTGTTCCTGGGTTGTGTTAATTTACCATACTTACTCAATCTATATACTGAGCAAATAATCCAAGAAGCTGGATTATATAAAGAAAAACATGGCTTCAGGATTGGAGGAAGACATTAACAACCTGTGATATGCAGGTGATGCAACCTTGCTTGCTGAAAGAGAAGAAGACTTAAAATACTTACTGATGAAGCTAAAATACCACAGCTTTCAGTATGGGTTGCATCTCAACGTAAAGAAAACAAAAATCCTCACCACTGGACCAATAAACAACATCCAAATAAATGGAGAAAAGATTGAAGTTGTCAACCTTCATTTTGCTGGGATCAACCATCAACACTCATGGAAGCAGCAGTCAAGAAATCAAATGACGTATTACATTAGGCACATCTGCTGCGCAAGACCTCTTTAAAGTATTGAAGAGCTAAGATGTCAGTTTGAGGACTAAGGTGTGCATGACCCAAATCATGGTGTTTTCAATAACCTCATATACATATGAAAGTTGGACAGTGAATAAGGTAGACCATGATGTACTTGAGTTATGGTGTTAGAGGAGAAGATTAAAAGGACAATGGGCTTCCAAAACAATAAACAAATCTGTTTTGTAAGTACAGACAGAATGTTCCTTGGAAGCAGGATGGCCAGACTTCTTTCATACTTAGGACATACTGTCATGAGGGACCAGTCTGTGGAGAAGGATATCATGTTTGGTAAAGTGGAGGGTCAGAGAAAAAGAGGAATGTCGATGGTTCAAATTCACCAGCTGCTCCTCAGAAACCCTATACCAGGTTGCTATGAGTTAGAGCCGACTTGATGGCACTTAACAACAACATATGATGCTATCTTGTTATATAGCATAATATATTATAGTTCACTTTATATACTAAAATATATATAATATTCTATTAGTTGTTGTTAACCCTCTATAGGGTTTCTAAGGAGCAGCTGGTATAGCTGAACCACTGATATTGTGGTTCAAATCAGCCTTGTGTTCCAGTTCATTATCTCACAATGCCACAGTACATTATGCTATATTCGTATAATCAAGGTCAGCGGTTCAAACTCAGCAACAGCTCTTTGGAAACCCTATACAGGGCTGTTATGAGTTGGAACTGACTCTATGACATTTACCAACACCAACAACATATAATAAATTATTTATAATTTATTTGTGAAGTTATCTATTAATATCTACCTCTACAATAGAATGTAAGCCCCTTGAGGTCAGAGGTTATACATATTTATTCACAGTTTATTTCTAGAATCTAGCACATGGTCTGTCACATATGGAAATGTTAACCTTTTTGTTGAATGTGAAAATGAATGAACAAATATATAAGACGGTTTTCAAAAAGTTTGTGAAACAATTCTATTATTTTTCAATCCATTTTTCCATGAACATTTTGAAGCCCCCTTGCTTTCATGTACATATACCCATAGGGCTTTCTCCTCCTACTGGGTCTTGATCTTGCTCTTCTGTTTGCCTGGAATGCTCTCCCCCTCCATTCCCTGCCTAGTTCATTGCAATTCTTCAGAATTCAGCACAATTGCCACTTCCTGAGGATCAGCTGCCCGGATTCCAATATTATTATACATCTACCTTTCTTTCCTGCCATTTATCACCTCATTCCTATCTCCCTGCCCACTAACTATGAATGCAGGACCATGTGTATTTTATATTTTCAGCACTTTACATGTATATTTTATATTTTATAAATATATGTTGTTGTTGTTAAGTGCCATCGAGTCGGGTCCGACCCGTAGCGACCCTGTACAGGGTTTCCGAGGGTGTAAATCTTTATGGGAGTAGAAAGCCTCATCTTTCTCCCGCGGAGCGACTGGTAGTTTCGAACCGCTGA